CTTGGGCAAATCGCTTGACTTCCGATTTGATTTCCTCATCTTTAAAATGGGGATAATGAGACCTACATCAGGGGCGTCATGAGACTTAAACGAGTATAAAGTGCTCAGCAAGTCCTAACACGTAAGAGGGGCTCATAAATGCCCGTGATCACCTTTGTAACCCATTCTTGCCTCCTTCCTCTGCCCTAAGACAGCCCTTCTCACCTGCCACAGCGTTTCAGAGCTGGAAGGGGCCTAGGAATGTGGGGAGTCTGTCCAGATAGGAGGAAGAAAGGGAGGCCCAGAGAAGGAGGGGACCTGCCCAAAGGCACACAGTAAGGGCATGGCTAAGTGGGGATCGGGGCCCAGGGATCTGCCTGCCCAGGCCAGAGTTTTAATCCCGAGACCTCACATTTCCCAGGATCACAGCATTCTTCCTCCAGGTGTTTCTGCCATCTTACCCAGCAGCAGGTGGGGGCTGGGTGGGGGGGGGGGGTGCAGGGCCCCAAGAACAGCACAATGATGGATGGTTCCCACATGGGCACAGGCTCAGCCCAGGGCTGGGGGCCTTTTCCTGTCCCACATGCTCTCGGCCACCCTGGAGCCAGGGGCCTTCCTCCCCAGTCTCCGACAATGCCCCAGGTGTCCAGAAGGATCTGCCCCTGACAATAAGCAACATCCTCCCGCCAAATAATTATAATTCCAGCTGGGCTATTTATAGCCCCTGATAACACATGCGCATGCGCAGTCATGGAAGGCATGGGGCATGTGCGCTGTTTTTCCTAACGCCGTGCCCTTGAGAGTCCTCCTAAGGACTCCCACAGGCTGCCCGTGGGCCTTGTCCCGGCTGGCTGCGGTCTCAGACACCACAAACAAGATGTTTTCTCTCCCCCAGGACAAAACCTGTAGATGCCTGGCCCACTCCTGTCTGGCCCTTTTGTTCAAACTGAATACTCTCACCCACGCCCAAACCTAAAGCCCAGGGTAGCTTCTCCTTTTTCTAAAAGCGGAAGAGGTCCTTCTGGGGCGTGTGGGGTGTAAGGGATTGAGCAATGCCCCCTCCCCAACTCTGTCTCTGAACCCCAGTTCTGTGTGTCCTCCCTGTGGGTCTTCAACGAAATCGCTCCTTGGGCTGAAAATCCCCTCTCCACCGCTTCCTGGGCAATTCTGCAGTCATTAACACCACTGCTTGGACGCAGGGGGCTCTGGGCCTGACGTCCTGCTGCAGGCCCTGGGCTGGTGCCCTCCTGGAGGCCCTGCTGCTTGCTCCCGTCCTGCCCACACCTACCCCGCCCACAAGCTAGCCTCAGTCTTGCCACATCTTGGCCCCAACCCATCCACACCTCTGTCCACTCAGCGTTCCCCGCCCTGCTCAGCTCTGTGCTCCACTTCTTGCGTCTGCCTCTGCCCACCCCAGACCTGCGGCCCTGGCCTCTACTGAGCCAGCTTCCCCGTGGCCCCCAAGGTGTGTGTGATCCTGCAAATGCTGCTGGATCTGGATTCAGCTCTCACCCTTGGCGATAGTTCTGGGGCTGAAGATAATGTTGGGAAAAGGGGAAACCAGTTACCAGCTGGGAGAGATGCTGCTGGGAGCTGCCCTGTGGCCTGCTGGGGAAAGGGGGGAGTAGAGGGCAGACATAACCCAGGGTCCACTCTCTGGGTGGGTTTTTATTCTCCCTTAGAGGATCCCTTCTGTAGCTACTCCCCACTTCCATTTACTGGCACAGCCAAAATTTGGCAGTCAGGCTTCCACCGGGGACCTTGGGTGGATCATTTCCTCTCTGAGCCTGAGGGTTTCAACTGTAGAACAGTGGGCTTGGGGAGTAGAATCCCTCCCTGGTTACACCAAGGAGCCACACTCATGGATCAGAAACTCAGATGCCCACGGGACATTTATGGTGAGGGAATGAGGCAGGCCAGGTGGGAAGTTAGGGAGTAAGTAGGAGGGACCGCAGCAGCTAGAACACCAGTGTCCCATCTAATAAGGAGGCTGCTGCTCAGATCCAGCGGACGGCTGCCTCATAGGAGAGCTGCTTTACTGTTAATTTACCGACTCTCAAAGAGAAGCTGCAAGTCGGAATTTTCATATCAAATTCCCGCTCTTGGGCTTCCCTGGTGGCGCAGTGGTTGAGAGTCCGCCTGCCGATGCAGGGGACACGGGTTCGTGCCCCGGTCTGGGAAGATCCCACATGCCGCGGAGCGGCTGGGCCCGTGAGCCATGGCCGCTGGGCCTGCGCGTCCGGAGCCCGTGCTCCGCAACAGGAGAGGCCACAACAGTGAGAGGCCCGCGTATCGCAAAAAAAAAAAACGGTGAGAGGCCCACGTACCGCAAAAAAAAAAAAAAAAAAAAAAAAAAAAAAAAAAAAATTCCCCCCCTTTAAATTTTGGGGATCCCAAAAAAAAAAAAAAAAAAAAAAAGAGTAAAATACTTTGAGGGTCAAATGACATATGTTTGAAGGCTGAGTATGGCCGGTGGGCTGCCAGTTTCTGCCATTTTTTCTTTCAGTACAGAGTCTAAGTGCCTGAGTTTAATTTTGACTCTACTACTTATTTGCTATGTGAACTTCGGTGAGTTACTTAACATCTCTGTGCCTCTGTTTCCTTATTGGTGAAACAGGAAGGAAAAGAACACCTGCCTTACTGGGTTGTTAGACGTGCCCATGCTATTCCTTCTTCTAGTTCTAACTAGATCCTGCTTTCCCTGAAGCCCCCATACTCTAGCTTCTGAGTTTATACCCTCTGGAACGTCAGGCAAACCACTTTCCCTTTCTGGGCTTCTATATTTCTGCTGGAAAGGGAGATCAGCATCTCGCTAAAGAAGTTCTGAAATCCCTGCTTACCTTGGCAATGACTTTCCAAAAATCTGGGGCTCCCAGACATGGCTCCCTCTCACATGTGGGTGCTGTAAGTGGGAGGCTCTGGTGTGTGTCTGTCCTTTTTACCTTCTGGGGCTTAAAACTCCACCCTCGCAGACATATTCTTTGGGGCCTTGGCTTTGCTGCCTCCTCACACTGTGCTTTAAATATGCAGGCACGCCAAGATTGGACCACAGCTGTTACCAGTCATTCAACACCTTAGTGGGAAAGAATCTGAATCTGGCCTCTCCATTCTGTTGTGCAGAATGGTTTTCACTCTTAATGTCCTAACGTCTCTTGAATTGCAGAAATGAGTTAGAGACCTATCTTTCCCAGGTATCAAGCACCAACCTTCAGAGCATGTCATGTAAATTATCTGTAATTCTGCCTCAACTCTGGCAGGTAGCTGTTTCACTTCTATGTTTTCTAGTGAGGAGTCTGAGGCTCAGGGTCTACGTAACTCTCAGCTGTTGGACTCCAATGCAGGGTGGGCTAATTCCAAAGCTACACCAGGCTGCCTTTCTCCTGACTGGGCCAGGCTTTCAGCTCTGCCAGGTGAGGGGAGAGGGGGATGGGCTGTAAAATAGGGAGGAAGAAGTCGTGTTGTTACCTTGGCTTCAGGCAACGGCCATGGAAAGGACATATCCATTTTTTTTTTTTTTTTTTTTTTTTTTTTTTTTTTTATGGTGCGCGGGCCTCTCACTGCTGTGGCCTCTCCCGCTGCGGAGCACAGGCTCCGGACGCGCAGGCCCAGCGGCCATGGCTCACGGGCCCAGCCGCTCCGCGGCATGTGGGATCTTCCCGGACCGGGGCACGAACCCACGTCCCCTGCATCGGCAGGCGGACTCTCAACCACTGCGCCACCAGGGAAGCCCAGGACATATCCATTTTGATCCTATACATATTTACAGGGTCCTCCTTCCCTGTCTGCCCACAACAGCCCCTGATTGTAGCCAATTAAAATCAAAATATCACTAATGTCTAATAACTATAGCTAATCCCGCCCACGTCTGCAGGGGGCACGAGAGCTCACATCTCGCGTTCTCCTCTTTTCGTCATTCTGTCCTCTCACAAGCCTCTTGTAGCTAGTATTTTCCTCATTGCACACATGAGGGAACTGAGGCTCATAGCTAGACAGAATTTTCTGTTTTGAAGGGCCAGTGCTCTGGGGGGTGAACCTGGTTAAATGCTGGGAGGCTGGGGTAGGATAAAGAGGACCAGGGCATGGCTTCATTTGCTTCTTGAAAACAAGATGAACTAGAAAATATTTCTAAGAAGACTGGGTGGCAGGCCGGTGCCTGGATGAGATGACCTTTTCTGCGTTGCCTGTCCTTGACCCTTAGACACCTTGGGTTTTCCTGCTTCCCTACCACCTTCCACTTGCTGGAATCCTCTTTGTCCATCTACCCCAAAGACCCTCCTTCCTTTAAGAAGTCTCCTGACCATCCCCAGGAAGGTCGTGTCCTCTTTTCTCCAAGTCCCCTGAAGGCTGGTACGGGTTTGCCCTTTAGCCTATGGGATTATTTTGTCAAGAGGCAGGACTTGTCTACCCAGCTAGGCCATAAGCCCCTGGAGAGGCCACATCCAGGTGAGAGGTAGCACCTGGCACAGGCCTCACGCAGGTAGATGCTCTGTTAGTGCTCACGGATGAGGAGACGTGAAGGCAAGGCCAGCCCCAGGAGCCGCTGGCCCCCAGAGGGGCAGCCAAGGGCCAAGCGCTGCTTTTCCCAAACAGCCTTCCCCTCCTCACCCTGCTTCCCACCCGACGGCACTGGGCATGGAAGCTGGAAGTGCCAGGGGCCAGGTGTGGGCAGAGCCATGGTGCCTGCAGTAGGGGGATGGCAGCCGGGGCTGCAGCACATGTGCCCCCTGGGAGAGGGACACGCGCTGGCCGGGCCCCGTCTGCTGCCTGCCTGGAGTCTCTCCTATGCCTCATCCAGCTGCACCTGGAGAAGCTCCTGTGGCTCCTGCCACACAGCCTGGGGCGGAGCCGGGTTCATGAACTAAAGAAGCAGCTGAGGCTTGGGGAGGTCAGCTGACTTGCCGCGAGCTTGTGGCTGGGGAACCCGCATCTTTGAAGCCCCAGACCAGGGTTCTTCCCTACTCTGGGGGCGCTGGGAGTGGCGCCGGCTCAGGCGGGTGACAGGCTCTCGTCTCTCTGAGCAGGTCTGGTGGCAGCATTCAAGGTCGCCACGCCGTATTCCCTGTATGTGTGTCCCGAGGGACAGAACGTCACTCTCACCTGCAGACTCTTGGGCCCCCTGGCCAAAGGGCACGACGTGACCTTCTACAAGACCTGGTACCGCAGCTCACGGGGTGAGGTGCAGGCCTGCTCGGAGCGCCGGCCCATCCGCAACCTCACATTCCAGGACCTTCACCTGCACCACGGCAGCCACCAGGCCAACTCCAGCCAGTATGTGGCCCAGCGCCACGGGCTGGAGTCAGCCTCTGACCACCACGGCAACTTCACCATCACCATGCGCAACCTGACCCTGCTGGACGGCGGCCTCTACTGCTGCCTGGTGGTGGAGATCAGGCACCGCCACTCGGAGCAGCGGCTCTACGGAGCCATGGAGCTGCAGGTGCAGAGAGGTGAGGGCTGCCTCTGTGGGACAGCTGGGGTGGGGGCGTCACGCTGGGGATGGTGCCTGTGCTTGTCTGGGCGGGGGAGCAGAGAGGAGGACAGCGTGGCTGTGGGGTGGCGCTGTGCATCTGATGGTGCGACACCGTGCCGGAGGCTGTGTGATTCTGTATGGGTGGTGCTGGCACTACAGGGGTGGCACGGTGTGTGGAGCTGTGTGCGCATCTCTCTGGGTAGCTGGGTGTGATGGACGGAAGGGCGTACGTGGCTCTGTTTATGACAGTGGGACTTTTTAATGGGAGAGGGTGTATGAACTTGGGCTGGACTCCATGGTGAGCATGACTGCTCACCACAGTACCATGGCTCACACACCTGGGGTGTGAGTTAGGAGAGAGAGAGAGAGAGAGAGAGAGAGAGAGAGAGAGAGAGAGAGAGAGAGAGAGAGAGAGAGAGAGAGAGTGTGTGTGTGTGTGTGTGTGTGTGTGTGTGTGTCTAGGTGAGAGAAGGCAAGGGGCGTTAGACTAGATAGAGGTGTGGGTGTGGGCAGGTACCGACATGGCCCTGAGGGTGTCATGTGTCATGACAATGTGCAGGGCATGCCTGGCTGTGCAGTGAAAATATGCCTCCGTGTGTGCGTGTGTGTGTGTGTGTGTGTGTGTGCGTGCGTGCGTGTGCACAGCTGGACCAATGTTGCCAAGGGGACACTAGCCTGAGTACCTGTGACAGGAGGGGGGGCATGCCAGCCTGGACAAGTCTTCCTGGCCTCCTGGGTCTGACACCCACCTGATGAGCCTTCCCTCTGCTCCCACAGGTGAAGAGGCACCATCCAAGTGCACTGTGTACCCACCCTCCTCCAAGGAGAGTGAAAGTAAGGAACCGCCTTCTTGGCTCTTCTGGGTTCTCTGTTCTCCTCTGTCCTCATCCTGGACCCAGACCTCATTCTGAACTCTGACCTCATCACCCCAAGCCCACGGAACCCCCGTTCCTCCTCCTTTGCTGCTGCCTCTCCCTTTTGTTTCCTCCTTCACCTGAGCCACTGGGCTGCAGCCCCCAGAAGCCCATGCCCCTTCCAAGGCCCAAAGCCTGAGGAAGGTGGCTCCTGGAGTCCCAGCTCCTGACTCTCTGAGTGGGGCTGTGCCCTGGCAGTGACCTTTGGCCAAGTGCCCTCGCGACAGGTACTGGGTGCCACAGGCTGCCGAGCTTGTTTTCAGTGGGCACGGCTCCTGCCCACTAGCCCTCTGCCACAGGCAGAGGTTGGAGCGCTGTGGTGGGGGTCCTCCTGGCTTGGACTCAACTATTTAAAATCTCCTTGTTCTGTGTGGGGAGGGAGGAAGGAGAGGCTCAGGAAGGGGAACAGAACTACCTTTTCTAGAGCTCCTACTATGTGCCAGGACTGTGCTAAGTCCTTCCAAGTACTGAGCTCCTACTATGTGCCAGGACTGTGCTAAGTCCTTCCAAGTACTGAGCTCCTACTATGTGCCAGGACTGTGCTAAGTCCTTCCAAGTACTGGTATCTCAGTGGCTTCTTATCAGAACCCTGTGAAATAGGTGTCACCAACTTCACTTTACCTACATGGAGGCCCAGAGAGGTGACATAACTGCCTCAATTCACACAGATGGCAAGGGAAGTGCAGCTAGGACTGTGCTCACATCACCTTTTTCCCACGTCAGGGTAGGAGGCTGGACACACAGTGTGGTGGGTGTCAGTCAGCCCCCTGGTATGTGCCCAGAGGTGCCCTACAGGGGATGGGGGCACTGCTTCAAGAGGTGCCCGGGGCTTCCCTGGTGGCGCAGTGGTTGAGAATCCGCCTGCCAATGCAGGGGACATGGGTTTGATCCCTGGTCCAGGAAGATCCCACGTGCCGCAGAGCAACTAAGCCCGTGTGCCACAACTACTGAGCCTGCGCTCTAGAGCCCGCGAGCCACAACTACTGAAGCCTGCATGCCTAGGGCCCATGCTCCGAAACAAGAGAAGCCACCGCAATAAACCCACGCACCGCAACGAAGAGCTGCCCCTGCTCACCACAACTAGAGAAAGCCCGCGCACAGCAACGAAGACCCGATGCAGCCAAAAATAAATAAATTAAATTAAAAAAAAAAAAAAAAAAAAAAAAAAGAGGTGCCCGGGCACTAGGAGGCCAGGCGAGAATGCCCAGCAGCTTGGAGACAGCAGGCAAAGGGGGGACATCTTAGGGACACCCCCCCTCTTCTGAGAGGAGGGGTCTAGGCTTCCGCAGCCTTCTCTCTGTTAGTATTTATCGGGCATCCAGTGTGGACCAGCCCCGGCCTAGGCCCTGGAGACACAAAAGTGCAGGCCTCCTCCCTGCCCTTCAGGAGGACATGCACCAAAACTGAAGCCAGGAGTGGGAACAGCTCAGCTACAGCCCCGGCCAAGCCCCCACTCAAAGGCTGTGGTGACTTTCTATTCGAACTACTCATTTTTTTTGAAGCAACAAATGGACCAGCCAGGAACAAAATTAGAACGCACGGTTGGGTCTGAGTTAGACCCACATGGAACCAAGAACAAGCCCCTCTTCCTGCACACCGCAGAGCTCGTGTGTGGCCTCGGCACCAGGCCGCTGCCCTTCCTCACTTCCTCCACTGGCAGCTCCCTGGGGAGGGTGGAAAGGGGGCCCCCCACCCCGAGCAGCCCCTCCCTTCCCATGCAGCAGCCTCATGACTGTGTGCGCACACGTGTGCTGTGCACAGGACAGGGTGAGCCTCACGTGGTGGGGTCGCTGAGTGTTTACTTCCCCATCGCCCCTTCCACTCTGAGCAACCTCCTAGTCCCACTTCTGCTCCCACAGAAACACCTCCGCCACAGCCACCATTTCACAGATGGAGAAACCGGGGTTCACACAGGTGAAGGGACTTGGTCCCAGTCTCCCAGAGCCAAGAGGAGAAGCCAGAGTGCCTGATTCTCGGTGTGCAAACCCTGTTCCCCTCTGTCAACACTCGTTTTCTGAAAATTAGCTGTATGAGTTAAGTCTTGGAGACAGAGACAAGAGATGCCAGAGGGGATGGTGCTAGAGAAACCAGGCGTGAAATGGAGAGGGAGTGCAGACCTGGGTCGTTTTTCTTGATCTAGACTCTAGAGAAGCAGCTGCTGGAATTAAGGGAACAGGAGTCACCTGGGAAATCCCAGGAGTCTGGCTGAGGAGAGCCCAAGAGTGAGGCAGAACCTTGAACTTGACTGTTAAGGGTCAGGCTTCCTTTGCTGGGCACCTCTGCTCTCAGGTTTTGACATTTTCCTCCTCTCCAGTTCGCGGGATGTGCAGCCTCACTCTGGTCCCTGCTTCCCTGAACTACTGTCTACAGGGAACTGGCTAAAGGCCAAAGGGGACGTGTTTGCTTCTGTCTCGGCGTCAAGGGCAGGGGGATAGCGTCAGTGATCTCTGGAGTCCCCTTTCGATCCCCTTCCAGGCCCTTGGTTCTGGAGTTCTGCAGACTACAGCTGTGGTGGAGTTTTGGCACTAAGGCGGAAGTGGTCTCAGATGAAGAGAAAGGCGGCTATGCTTTTGGGTGGGGTGTGCGGGCTTCGGACAGTGCTTCCGTTCTCCGGGTATCGTGTGTCCACTGATCAACGTGAGCAAGCGTGTCCCTTTCCAACTAACAGGGAGGCCCCCTGTGTCATCTAAGGTGCTGAGTCAGGGCTCAAAAACGAAATGCCCGCCGGGCCAGGGAGCTGGTGGGTGGGACAGTAGGGAGGGGTAGAGACTGTGGTGAGCACCCAGCTGCCAGTCTTGTACTTGCAGTTCCAACCGCCACATGCCAGGAAGGGGGACCAGGGTTGCCAGAGCCACTGAATTTTCAAGCAAAGTCAGAAGTCCAGATTCTACTTGAACTCCCTGAATTTTAAAATGTTGGCAACTAATTAATTAAAAATTAAGTACTGTGTCGGCCACAGTTGCAACCTGAGTCCATTCTAGTGAAAGGCAGTGTGGTAAAGTGGGTAAGAGCACAGATCCTGAAATCAGCCAAGCTGCTTAACCTCCCTTAGCCTTAGTTTTCTCATCTGTAAAATGGAGATAACAGTTATAATCGTACTTTCCAGGTTGTTATGAGGCTAAAATGAGGTACTCTGTGTAAAGAAAGCGCTAAGAACCACGCCTGGCACGGAGTAAGTGCTGTGTATGTGTTGGCTATTACTTCGAATGTGGAATTCTAGGCCTGGCTTCCCAAGTCATCTCATCCATTCTCCTGTGCCAAGGCAGGATGGCAAGTAGATGGCAGCTGACAGCGGACACATATCCTGTTTTCCAACAGTTCGAAACATTTGCCTGGTGACCCATGTGCTTAGTAGGCCCCAGGGCTGACCGCTGGGTACTGCCCTCCACTGCCACTTGCCTTTGGAAAGATCCCAGTCCCTGCTGTAAGACAGGTGCCCCCCCAGCCAGCCTTGGTACCTGATCAGTTAATGATGCTTCCAGCCAAGAAGCTCTTTGAGTTTCCCTTCTCTGACTGCAGCCCGTCTCCTAGCGTTATCTCTGGGGTGGAGGAGGGTAGTTGGTCTATGAAATCCTCTGAATGCTCACAGCAGCTTGAGGTGGCAGGGGAGGGGATGAGAGGAGTGGGGCTGAGGAAGGTGGTACCCAAGGAGCCCAGGAGCCCCGAGCTGCTGGGGGGCTGTGGTTTTTCACTGAACCTGGGGAAGGGGGCTGGGCAGCCCATCTCCCTGAGAGGCAACCTCCCCACCCCACCCCCCCAACACAGCAGGAGGTATGGTTTGCTTTCATCCAGCCCCGTCCCTGGAAACGGGCAGCTCTACTGAACTCCCCCCTCTTCCATAAACACCCTCGGGGTACTACTGGCAGGCCCTGGGCAAGGACTCGCTGAGCAGGCTGGGCCCCTCCCATCCCACCCCGCTGTGTAAGGGCCTGGCACGCTGCTTGCTGCTCGCTAGGCGGGTGCCTCTGCCGGTGCCTGATCACCTTCTAAGCATGAGTCTGGCTCTGGATGGCTACAGAGCAGGAGCCCCCCAACCTCACCCCCAGGTACTGGCCACACGTAGTGGGAGGGCTGGGGAGCTGTGGAGAGGCTGTGCTCTGCAGAGGAGCCCATGGTGTCGGAGGGCAACTGGCCCACAGAACTCTCCCCAAACCCTGCCCCCCGGCCCTAGCCTCAACTCCCAGGCCAGGCTGTAAGGAAACCAAGCCCTGATCCCCTAGAGGGGCCGAAGAGAGGGAGTCTTTGCTTGGGGACAGGAGTCAGGTAGAGGCTGGGCCAAGCCACCCACAGCCAACAGGGAGCTGGACTCGGTGATCACTGACTGGCGACACCGAATGCTGCCTAGTTCCAGCCTTCAGGAGACCTGCTCCGACGGCCAGAGAAGAGCGCTGTGCAGCTGGTTTCTCAGTGCCCATAATAAGGTCCTGTGACGGGGTTTAGAGATACTCAAATGTCTGAATTATAGAACATTTAGCTTTCAATAGTCTCAAAGTGCAGCCTCGCTAAGATCTGCGGGGAACCTGCTTTAATGTGGAGTCGAGCTTGCTTTGTAACAGCACAGCAGCTGTTCCTGTACCAGCGGGTACTTCTAAAGCGCCTGAAAACAGCTTGTTCTCTTCTGAGGTCTGAACAAACTCCCTGAAAGCTTGTTTACACCGTCAGGTTGTTCAGCAATCCAATGAGATAAAAACAGCCTTTATTCCCAAATAAGTAGTGCAAAGGCAACACTGAGCCCGTTCACCTCCCCAAAGCTCCCTGGAGCCAAGCTGACCCTGTGACAAGGTATCCCAGCCCATGGTTTTTCTGTCAGAGGGAAGGGCTAAAATTGGGAAGGAAATGCGTTTACACTGGTTGTGGTTCTGAGGGCACGTCTGTTCCCAGCCAAACTCCTGGAGTCAGTAGATGGACTGAAATAAATCAAACCTCCCATGCTGTTGATGGGATCGTGAAGCAGGACAAGTTTTTTTTTAGAGGACAATTTAGCAATAGCCTAAAAGAAAATACACTTACTCTTTGGCTCAGCACTTTCACTACTAGGGTTTTATGTACGGATGTACTTGCCCAAGTGAGCAAAGATGCCTACACAAGAAGTCCATTGCTACTTTATTAGTTATGTTGAAAATGGAAGAAACCTACATGCACACCAGTAGGGGACTATTTCAATAAATTTTGGGTGAGCCACATGATAAAGCCCTAGGCAGAATGAGGTAGATCTCTGTGCCAATACAGAGAGGTGTCTAAGCTGTGCTAAGTGGGAAAAGCAATTGTCCTGTGATCCCATGTATGCTCTACATGCGGGGAATATATCTAGACTATACACAAAAAAACTGCTGACAGTGATTATGTCTTTGGAGGGGGCCTGGGTAGAGGGGGAGGAAGAAACTTTTGAATTTTTTTTAACTTTTAAATGTTTTTGTAATTTCAAAAGTTTAAAAAAATTTAAATGTTGGACAAGGATTCACATTTCCCTAGTTCCTGCCCCAAGATTTTTCCCCGTGAATTGTACACGTGAGATCAGTTTAGAGGCCCCGTCCTGGAGCCAAGGAGTCTCTCCGGGGATAAACAGGGCTTTTTATTCATTTATTTTTCATTGAGATAAAACATATATAAAATTTGCCATTTTACCCTTTTTTTTTTTTTTTTTTTTTTTTTTTTTGT